TATTTTCTTTGCTGTATACTTCAATAGGTTATAATTTTATACTACCAAATATATTGTACCATATTTTTCCGAGTTGGCAGACAGTAGGCGCATATGAATCAGATAGCTTGACAGCATTTTTCTCTCAGGTCCTTCACTCCATTCTCTTCTTTTAATTTTCCATAATGCTCATCTTGTTAGCTTTCCTGTGTGTAACTGAACTTCTTATCTAGCAACTTCATACTATGATCAGAATGGTTGGGTTTGCTATATTTTGAGCTCTTACTCATGTAACTGTTTTTTTCTTTACCATACAGTTTATACAATATTACTGTACCAGTTTCACCATGAATAATTATGCTTTTATCTTGAATATATATTAAACATTTTTTATTGCAGTTCTTAATATGGTAATTACATCAGTTTGTTCTAATTTTACTCTAAGACAACCAGGTACACAACACACACAAGATAACATCTTTGTTGTGTATTTATTTGTAATGCATACTCAGATTCACTGAAATTCATATGCTTATATTTATGCAAATAATTTTAACTCATTACAACATAGAACACATTCAGCTAGTACCAGTGTAATATGGCCCAAGGGGGATAGGATGGGAAGGATGACATGGATAAGAGGGTTAGGGCTTTGTCTAAAAATTTCGTTGGAATGTAAGAGACCAGAATTTGTTTTACTGATCGATGTTGTAAAAAGCAGTAATATAGTGTCTTTACGTTGCAGTGGTTGAGTGTGCTGAGTTCAGGCGTTTGAAGTGCTAACTTATAATCAAATAAGCGGTAGGTGATACAAATTGAATTAAAGTTTATTAATTTTAGTTGCATTTCTTTTGCCATCTGGCGATAGAAGTATAAACACATTGTTTCTGAATACAGGAAGCATAGATAATCTTCCAGGAAGTATGTTAAAAATGTAACTTTGTGGTGTTGATGTGACTACTACGTCAAGTTATAAGTTTTGAGGTTATGTATTCATGGTAATTCATTTATCATAGCCAGGCATATCGTATCTGGTATGGAGGAAGATTTTAAATAATTGTACAACAAATACATTTTTTGTGAGTAGGATTCAAAGTTCTCTGCGGCGAGTACGAAGGTGGGTGTCTTCTGGATTGTTGCGCTGACGTTTGAGACGTACTTGCTGCCTCCATCATCAAGGGAGGAGAAGTGGAGGCAGTAAGTACCCCAGAAATACACGTATATTGCTTTTCAGACACTGAAGGGACAATGTGGAGCATACTGGATTATATATTCAAACGAAAGCCTGTGCCAACAATACTTAAGCAATATAACTCCATAAATTACTACAATGGGCCAGAAATTGCAACTGCAGAAATCCGTAAGCGGTTATTGCAGTCCAGAGGTGGTTGTGTTGATGTAGTAAAGAATGAGGATACAGGCATTGCTACTTTGTGTCTTAATAATCCAGAAAGAAGAAATGCCATCAGTGGTAAGTATAATATATCAATACTACCATGATTGTACTTAAAGAAACCTTTGGTAGGAGAATCTACCTTTACATTTGATCTATTAATGTAAAGCAGTCCCACTATATGCCATGTACGTGTTTGAGGAGAGAGGAGGACCCCGGTACTAATTGGATAGGAGGCTGGGCTGTAATATACAAAATGTCAGTCCAACCATTCTTTGCTCAGGTGATATACAGATTAGGCATTAGAGATAACCATAAAGTTGTTTTCTATTAAGCATCATGTCATGAAAATATATGGGGGAGTCTGGCTGTTTCAGATTCATCAGTATACTGATGTCTTATGGAATCAGTAAGACAAAAATAAACTTCCTTGTCCTTCACCATTTTGTCTCACAATTTAGAAAATAATATTCTTGTGAATATGTTTTCAAGGAATTCGATGGCAAATATTTCAATTTCAGTATTTATCTTGTACTCTTTGAAATAAATAAACATTTTGTTCTCTTAAATTGTTATATCTAAGTTAAGATTTATAAGATATCATTCACTTCTATTTCTGTGTATCATCTTGTGACATTTTTAATATGTAACAGTTTGTATTTGATGAAATGTTTTTGTTGTCTTCCAATTTGCTGCCCACTCTATGATTTACAACAGGATTCTGAACCTATAGGCCATATGTGGTCCACTTTGAGATTTTGTGCAAGATTTATAATTTTGTTTCACTTTGTATAATGAAAAAATAGTTGTCATTTAATTTTGAGTGAACAAATAGATAAATTTGTGAAAGAAAATTATTGCATGATAATCCTGTTTGGAGTTTAATAACTTGCCATGAAGTTTTGATAAATTTTTGTCACTTATATATAACCCATTGGTTTGAGTTGATAAGTAAGGACGTGTGTGGTTCTGGATCTCTGAACCTCCGATTTGTAAGATCACTTCTTGTCTGTTACTGGAAGTCAAATGATTCATTTTGTAGATTCTGGTCTCCTGGGTTGGTTGTGATGTGTAATTCTGTAGGTGGTTGCCAATGTTTCATAGAAACATTAGTAACCACCTACAAGAGTACATAGCATCACAGCAATGTTGGTAACCACCAGCAGAACTATACAGTTTCACATCTCAGAGACCAGCCCACATTTTCAGTGCTATGAAAGAAAACCTTGTAACTTAGCAGACTTTGTTTGGAAGATGCTTGTGAAAACAAACTTTCTTTTTTTACTTTGTCAAAGAACACTTTACACAGCCAATTTGTAGGCAGTCCTGTATGTTTTTTCAGGAAGCATGATGGTAGACTTGGCTGATGCAGTTGATATGCTAGAAAGTTGGGACACAGGAAAAGGATTAATTATATATGGACATGGACATACTTTCTGCTCAGGTGGTGACTTGAATATGGCTCGCATGTTTTCTAATCCAGATGATGGATTCCTAATGGCTGTATTCATGCAGAGGGTCTTGGGTCAGCTTGAAAAATTACCACTTATATCAGTTGCTTTAATTGAAGGAACAGGTAAATCACTTCCAGGTCTAATTTTTTTGTCATCAGACTTTTTAATGTTGCCATTGCATACCATTAATAAAGCAAATAAATTATAGACGGCATAGATGTGGAATTTGGATGTTGTAAACTAAATCACATATAGTACTGGTACTGTTGAAACTGAACTATATTCCTGAAAAGTTATCTGACTGTGCCATGTGTCTGCACCACAATTTACAATTTTAATTTCTCTTGATTGTTTCAAGGTGCACTGGGGGGCGGATCAGAACTAGCAATGGCATGTGATTTCCGGCTTTTGACATCTGACACTGGAGGCATTGGACATGTTCATAGTCGCATGGGTATAACACCAGCGTGGGGAGGATGCACCAGGTTGGTTCGTACTATTGGGTATACAAAGGCACTCAATCTATTGACAACAGGATGTAGATTGTCGGGAGAAGAAGCTTTGCACATTGGACTAGCTGACAGCATCGTAGACACTAAAAATGCTCTTACAGAGGCCTCAGAATGGCTGAAAGTAAGAACTAATTGTGATGTGGCAGTGCTGAAATCACTGAAGACCATGGCACATAATGCCAAAGAAATGAGTTATCAGGAATCCCTTGCTGAAGAGAAGAGACTATTTGCTCCATTATGGGGTGGACCTGCAAATCGTGCTGCTCTTACCCAAAACATTAAACATAAATAGTAAGGATAAATTACTATGATAGTCATTATGAAATTGTGATATTTTTATTCAAAGACCATTTTCTAGACACAACATTTGGTATAAACTTTATGACATCAGAGACAACTCCATTCTTGTACACTCTAATTTAGTCAGCAATAACAATGTGGCACATGTACAAATTTGTTTTGTCCACAATTATAGGTTAAAGACTTGAAGAAAAGTGAGAATCATAAACACTCCCCAAGAACCTTGTATTAATTCATCATGTTTTTCATAATATGATTGATGCATTGCATGGTTTATGTGGGAAGTTAGCTCCTCAGTTGAATTGTTTTACTTGTGTTAACATATAAATCCATAAACAAGAAACAGTGTCAATTAAAAATTTTGAAAATAAACTGGGATACAGAATTTGTCTCATGACAATTTCATTCTAGAATGTTGTGTGTTCATAAGAACTGTACCTTCCAGACTCTTCTCATAAGCCACACTGTCTCCGAAAGTTGGTTGTTATAGAACACCAAATGTGTAAATAGTTTATCACTGGAGATGTAAAAGAGATCAAATGTGTGTGCACCTTCGTCATCTCTCTCCATTACAAGCAATGCTATGATTTTTTTAGAAAGCAGGATACAGCAATGGAGCTACATCATGCAGGTAAAAGCAGTTCTAACTTATCTGCCCATGAGGCTGTAACTCTCCTTGAAGATGATGCTGATTTTATAATGTCAACAGACATTTTTAACTAAAGTTACAGAACTAGTACTGCTTACCAGATGCAGGTATCAATTTAATCAAGAGTATGATTTTCTCTTCCCAGTGTTCACCTTTTCTCCGGTGTTGCATATGCTATTATTCACATGTTTAATAACTTCCCTCTTCTAAACGCTGCATTTTATTTTACGTCCTCATTTTATGCTCTCCCATGTTTCCTTATATCTATCTGTCTTTTTTATTTTGATGTTCTCATATTTTTTACTCTTCCTTAATCTTTCGTTTTTATTCATATATATATACTAGTAAAACTGTTACTCTACTTCCATGACTGGTCATTTGTCTTTTTCCACTGCCACAAACATGACTGCTGATTTTAAATGTTTTATTATCATGATATGAAATGTTAAAGTGTTATTGCATATTCTTATGCTTGTCTTTTTTCCTTCTTTTAGTATCATATACAATCTCAGATGCTTCAAATGTGTCTTCATCAAGTTTTCTTTTTCTCATATGTCCTTCAGCATCATGATTTTTTCCTTTCTTTTTCTTCTCTTTCTTATAACTTTCTTGTTCCTCTTCATCATAGGTTTGCCATTTCCCTCTTTCTTTACATGTACCTGTTTCTTCTGAATTGCTGTTTGATTTTGAACTTCTACTCTTCTTTCTCTTTTCTTTTTTTAACATCTGTGGTTGTATGAGCAAATCTTCATGTACCATTCTTCTATTCTGACTGGTAACTTTCTTTCTTACCTCCAGCTCTTTTTCATAATCTAGGTAAACAAGGACAAATGAAACTGTTTTATGAATAGAGAATTTTCAGAAAAGTGTAAGAGAATATGAGACATTAAACATGCTTGAAGGTAAATAAAGAAACATCACAATTGTTACTGAAATTTACAGTTGTATTGGTTAATATGATTGCATTCATTTTATATCTTAAATTAAAGTATTAATTATTCATATAACTACCAGTAACAGGTTCCATACAATCTGAGATTCCATATTAAGAATAAAATTTTGCCACATTTCTTTGCTTTGACTTTGCTACCAGAGTGCAGTATATTAAAAGGTAAAGGTGAAATTTCCTCAGTGCCTAATGGTATTTGCAACAAATAATGTGACATTACCTCGTCCAAACAGAGGATGACGTACTTTTAACCCCTTTGGAATTTGAAAGTTACTTTGTTTCGGAAGTGCAATTTTCAATTCAGGAACTTCAACTTGCTCCGTGATAACCATCAAACCCTCAGGCTGCAACACTTCTAAGAAAAATACATAAATGTGAAGATTTATTATAGATGCCAAAGGTATTAAGGTTTGTCAGTTCTGTCTGCTACTTTGCTTTTAGTGCTTTTGTTTAATTAAAAACCCAATACCTTATTACAATTCAGGGTCTCTTTTTCAGCAGGGATAAATAGAAATTCCTTGTGCTAGTGGAAGATATACAAAATTATGCTACATTACAGTTTTCTCCAACTATTAGGGTTGTTTTAAGTAACACTTCAGTGTTATTTCAGTTGCAGATTGGTACAATTTGAAAGGAAACAACTTTGGCATGGCTGGAGGACTATAATTTGTCAAGAAAAAGATGATTTTAATCAACTTCATAGAGGAGTGAAGTCTGATTGGTGGAATATGAGAAATCAGACATATATATGGAGGTGATTATCTGGAGGGGGGTTTACAGAGACTCTGTTGGCGAGTTAAAATACTTCTTATAAACATATATATATTTGAACTTACCGACAGAGCCTCAAACCCCCCCCCCCCCAGATAATCACCTCCATATTTAATTGAAACCTTCTTTTTAAAACATGAAACAGACACAGATATGCACATGTTTATATGTATGTGAACTCACTTGCTTTGTAGACACCTTTCTTGTTTGGCAGCAGACATAACACAGGCTTGATCCTATCTACATAGGATGTTGTTTCATACTTATGTGCACTGTTCTGAAGTGTGAATTCTGATGTTCCACCAAAAACCAGTTCTTTATCTTCTAAACACTGGGGATTTAACTGTAAAAAACAAAGTGTGTTATTATTGAGAAAGTTTGAAATTGTTGATAATAAATTACTGAGGACAGTGGTGCCTATTAAAACAGTGTAGAGATAAGGCTATTTATAAAACATTCATGTACGCTGCTTAACCAGCATCATCATCTAATGTAATACAAAAATTCTGGGTCTCAGATAAAAATAGTGTCCAGTATTTTCAGGAAATGTGTTTGTATTACTTTGTTATTTCACAAACAGTATTTAAATTATTATAAACTGAAACATATTAATGTAGTCAATTTTACACACTTACAGAAATTGGACATTGTACCATCCAAATGTCCTCCTCTTCTGTAAGATCCCCAAATTTCAAGGTACCTCCTAGTTTAAATGTACCATAGTCCTCATCAGTCAACAGGGATGGAATCTTGGCAGTTATTCATTGAAAAGATAAACATACATTACTATCACAACATTTATAAGAATGAAAAGGTGTACTCTTCCAAATGCATTCTTACATATGAATGCATATTCCATGGATTCAGAAGTTACTGTATGTGACAGTTAACTAAGTCCCTGTGACATGTGGCCTGGGAAGTCATGTACTACACTACTAGCAAACTGAAAAATGTTGTGCTTGATCTAATTTGATGTAAACTTTACTTATAATACTTTATAACATTGGAAGTTTACATATATTTCCAAAACACACATACTGTAATATTTGTGTGAGACATTATGATGAAACATTTTTTACATTTAAAGAATGGTATAAGAGTAATTTAAATATGATCCACACAATGTTGACCAACATTAGCATAAAGCACAGTGGAACATGGGCATTACCCATAATGTAGACATGGAGTCAAAACCCTGAGTCCTTATAGGGTAAAGATTATTTGTGGCATTGTATACATCTAGACATAGGAGATATAATATGAATGCAGATTTGAAATATTACTTACAACTCTTCTTACTGAGTACCAAAGGTTGTAGAATTAGTTATGAATATGTATTATGAGATTTTGGTAGACTTTACACTGTGGTGAGCAGTTGTTAGACATGTTACTGTGTATATGTTTGAGGCTAACAATCATAAATAAATCCTGAATTCAGTGAAAGTTAGGTACTTTCGAAAGCTTTATGTTAGCAATTGTTGGATGTAGCAAATATAAAGAAAGCCCACACACAATCATGAGTATGTATTTAATTCATCTGCTTATGTTACCTCTGTGTCACTCTCGGAATCTTCTTTTTTTAGTACATGTTTTCTCTTCTTTTTGCAGTTGTCTTTTGCTGATTTTTGTGAATAAGAATCTTCACTCTCAGACACATCGTGTTCTTTCTTCATTCTGTAAATATCTTTCAGCACCTTTTCGGGTAAATCAGGTTTTACCACCAAATCTTGCACACTACTTTCCTCCTTTCTCGCTGCTGTTACACCAAAGCGAGCCTCGTCGTCGTCTATTGAGTCATCAGAATCACTGCTGTCGGATGTCATATATACATTATCATTTGAATTTGTGCATTCATTAGCAAACTTATTACTAACATTAACTTTTCCATTTACATAAGAACTGTCTCTAGAAACAGAATGAGTATTTGGTGTAATTTCTTCCCATCCAAAGCTTGTATCACTAAATGGACTCATCGGACACAACAAACTACGTTCACTTTCGAAAGGTTTGCAGGGGTTTTCTGAGAACTCCATTTCTTTTGATAACGAACCTACACTGTGATTTAAGTTTCTTAAAATCTGATTTGGGAATGCATCATTCGGTTTTGCCTGGAGATTTCTTTTTGAGTGTGATAACGGTTTCACCATGACCAAAAAACGTGTGTGTTCTGTTGATACTTGTACAGTGTCACATGAAATATGTATAAATATACGTACAGAACACAACACGCTTTGCAATACCTACCACGCACGGCTAATATATTACAACAGCTAGTTTTAGTCATGTGTATATTCAGTGCTACCAACAGACATACTGTGGATCGAATGTTGCCATGAAACGGGTGGAACGCTAAGATAGTCAGGAACATGAATGGCAAACTAAACACGATTCTGGAAAAGTACGGAATTTTGTGACCAATTTTGAATGTAGGGAACCTTCTTTGCGTTGCTTCTTTCTTCAGTCTTACTGTCTACGTTTTGAAAGCAATAAGGGAGGGAACAGTAATATTAATTTAAAGGAACATATTCACGCGGAGTGGCTGAAAATATCACGAAAATCTTAGATAGTAGGATAGTTTGAAGCTTCGTGGATAGAATAGTCTCATTGCAACTTCTTGAATACCTAATTTAAATTGTGTGAGAGGCGCGTGTTTCGTACCTGTTGGTAGAAACACTTTAGGTATCTGAGATATTAAGCCTCAGTGCTGGTCACATTTGTGGATGGCGAAGAAGCAATTGATGTGATCTGTGGTGGCGATCATGCGTGATCTGTAGTAATCCGCTCTAAAACACGGCTTATGTGTGTTACACTTTGTTCACCGCAATTCCATGACGTTTCCTGTTGTATGGGTGTGTGTGGGGGGGACTGTCAAGATGAGTGATATAAAGGGAGCTATGGAAAATAAGTATTTTAACATATTTTTATTGCTTAAGAAACAACGATGTAATTTCAAGTAGATTTAATTGTGCAGTGCACTCCCAAATATTACATCCAAGAATGTGCATAAAACACTCCGGTGAGTAATATTTTCGCGTGAATGATAGACACTCGCATGGTTTGTAGTCGAAAGTGTTTTTAGTCTGCAATGCAAGTCGACGTAGGGTCAGTTTTTTTTATTATATAAATGTGCTGAATGCTAAAGTACTATGTAGTGGCTGTGTTTGATTCTCGGTAACATTACACGTTATATGTATGAGAGTTAATCGTGGTTTCTTAATACGTAACGTGTAAATTAAATCAGGGGATTTGCTCACATTAACAAGGTTTTTGTTGTGGCGGAATGCCTTTACATGTTCAAAGTGGGGGGCTGTTGCTACTGATGGGAGGATGACCCCACCAGGAAAATTTGCCCGTTAAGAAAAGATGGATGGATGTCTGGGAACTGAACCTAGAAAATTTGGGGTCAGTTTGGCTGATGGTCTCTGCCACTTTGGGGGTGTGGGGGTCATTTTGGTTGAAGGCCTCAATGATTGGAGTAGGCAGGCCGTGCCCCCTTTGAATTATATCCTGGCATTTGCCTTTTTTTTTGAGGAAAAGTACAGAAAACCTCAGTCATTGTAGCCAAGCAGCTAGATACTACTCATGCTGACCTGGCTGTCTTTTTAGGATGGTCTCAGCTGGCCTGCTGAGTGTCATTGCATCTTTGATAACCATTACCCATTTAGGGATTGCTTGGTTGGCACAAGTGCCTACCAAGTTGCCAAACTAAGGGGTTCAGAGTGGAATCCAAGTTATGTGTCCAGTCTGTTGTAGAATCCTTACATTACATTTCTTAAACAATTCCATACATGAGGCTGTCTCTTTAGTGCTTCCCATTATTCTAATGGTTTTGTTTTGGATGTAAGATACTACCAAAAAAATTGTGTTGGCATGTTATTGAAGGAGGTTTTGCAGTATTAAACCTTTTATTCTCTATGATTACAGGAACTCCAACTGCTGATTTCAGTACTACAATATGTTGCCACAGATTTGTAATAAATACATTTGCTGTGTGTAGCAGATAATGGAATTCCAGACAGAACCATTTGAAAAATATTATGATGTGTTTGAAGAAATTGGAAAGTAAGTGTTAGAGATAAAGAAAAAACATTGTGGAAGAAAAATTGTAGACACTGATTCTCATCAGAAATATGAAGTTGGGCTTAATGCAGTTTTTATAATATAAATTTGTTCACACCACTTTGCATTTGTGTTTGTATGGTGATACTATCTTCTCTGAAATGTCTAAATAAATGTAAGTAAAAACAGGTCAGTCACATTTTGGTGGTGTTCTTTCCAAATGCATTAAATGTTTGTCCAATTAGAAACTAACCAGTTTACTAATATAATGTAATGTGAGAAAGTAATATATTTTTGTTTCTGTTGTAAAACCTCTTTAAAAGGAAATCCAGGCAGCAATTTGTTTTTAAGCCAAGTCTGAACCTGCATAGTTCATTTCAATATGAAATAGCATTTATGACCACCAAGATGCATTAGGAGATCAGAAAAATTCATTTTGGTACCTGAGGTTAGCAACTACATAATATATATCACACTGTGCTTCTGCTTCTTACTTATCTCAGTATGAAGACTCTCCAGTCACGGGTAACACAACAAGAACATTTTCAGGAGCTAGAACCATATGTGAACATTTTTAAAAGATGACGTCCTTCTACATTGTTGTGATATGTAGTCTGCTAGATGTTTACTGACATTTCAGAGGTGTTTACTGCCTCCACCATCATCATCATCATCAAGGTGATGATGGAGGAAGTAAACACCTCTGAAACGTGGGTAAACTTCTACCATACTAAACAGTGCAGTGCCCCAGAAGACAGTTATCTTTATTTTATATTTAATTTGCATTCTAATTTTATGTTAATTATTACTATACTCTGTGGAGGGGCCAGTTTGCAGTGGTGCGTCGATGTGTAGAGAAAGTTTCTGGCTGTCAGTATGCAGCCAAATTCATACGTAAGCGACGAGTATGCAGAGGTGTGCGTGCTGAGGACATTCATCGGGAAGTGAGCTTGCTGCAACAATTGAAACATCCCAACATTGTAACCTTACACCAGGTGTTTGACAGCAGGCAGGAGGTTGTTCTGATTCTTGAGTTGTGAGTACAGTATTAAAAGAAACCTTTGTCTTCTAATCTCTATTTTACTGTATTGGATTAAGAAGAGTAATTCTTCACTGTTCTGTCTTATGGCTGGAACTTAATGTTATGAATGGACTTATTTTATTCTAGAATTGCATTTTGAACATTACAAGTTTCATTAGAATCAGAAAAATGGTTTAGAAGTTGAAAAAGGTGGTAGCATAGATTTTATCTTTGTCCATTGGTAACTCTGATACACCTTGAAGTCATATGTGCTGGAAAGTTTTATCAATGAATGTAATAATTTACATAACAAACTGCTTGAAATTCTGTAACATTTTTTTATGTGTATTTAATGAGGTAAACAGAAGTATTTAGTTGGGCCTGTAAGTGATGTATTTACCTTGTTTATTTAGAGTGAGTCCATTATGTGATTTTATGTTTTTATGTTATTGAGAACTCTTAGAATATTTCATGAAAACTAATGTCCTTATACCTAATTGTTACTAATTAAATTATATTGCCTTGCATCGCTAATGTTAGTAGCAAAGTTGAAGTGATTATGTTTATATTGTTTGTGTAGGGTGGAGGGTGGTGAGCTCTTCCATTTTGTTTCTGAAAAAGAGTATCTGAATGAAGAAGAAGCTGTACAATTTATTAGACAGATACTGTATGCTTTGGAGCACATGCATAATCTACACATAGCTCATCTTGATCTTAAAGTAAGCTGATACCTTATTTTATTGAAATCAGTTTGAATGTACCTATTTCATTTGTTATTGTTCTAATCATGAAGTTAGGTCAGTAAATGTGTTTTGGCCTTGATGTTGTAACTGTGTAGTATTTTCTTTAATGCTTGTTCTGGTCTGTCTTCCAATAGATTGGTAGTCAAGAGGTTGTTTTAGGTGTCTGATATTTTGTTTTTGATCTAACTAGTTTTGTTTATACTATTCTAATTTTGATTTTAGTTTGGTCCATGTCATGTTCTTTTGAAGTGTCTTCCTTTCTTCTATGGTCTTCTAAACTGTATCCTGCTTTGTGTCTCACGAACTGCATGTTTACTATGTTTGGTATTCTTATATCTTTTTGTTTCACAGTCCAGCTTTCACAACCATATGGAAGTAATAGGGCTAATAATATATGTATTATTTCAGCCAAATTTGTTGTTGAACTAAAGCTGGTTTCATAATGTTCAGAATTACCCATTTTTGTATGAGATTATGCATTCCAATTGTGTTAATGTTTTTAATTATTCCATTTTCTTTACATTGACATAATTGTGTGAAGTTGTAAATTTTTTATATTTATGTCATATTGAATCATGTACAGTGTTTTGTGTGTCTTGTGGCATTATAATAAAACTAATTTAAATATTTATTTCTAGCCAGAAAATATTTTACTTTTGGGCAATGATTCACTCCAGATTAAGTTAATTGATTTTGGCCTATCTCAACACTTGTCTGCTGAAACTCGACTGCGGGCAATGTTTGGAACACCAGAGTTTGTAGCTCCTGAAATTGTTAATTATGAACCCCTCAGTCTGGGTACGGACATGTGGGCACTGGGGGTCATCACATATATTCTGTAAGTAAATGAGAGTCCAGTGTCTTAGTACAAGACCACCAAGTTGCCTATTTAATTTCTTTGTTGCAACACCAAAATTTGTAGGATTATGTATATTTGTTTCCTGTCCTGCATGTTTTGATACCCATCTTTAGTGAAAGTTCTGGTAAGATTAGAAACTTTTCTTTCTAGTAATAAATTACAAAAAATGTAACTTCTGCTTATTTTTAAAGAAGTTTGGAATGATAAATATTTTTGCTGTTATGATTGATACAAATTTATTGTTATAACCATTTGTTTCCTTTCACTTATTAATTAGTCAGTAATTCTGTTGACTTCATATTATTGTATTGTTTTATATTTCTAGGTTTTTGAATTGTAATTATTTTCAGGTTGAGTGGTGCTTCTCCATTTTTGGGTGAAGACAAACAGGAAACATATTCCAATATAGTAGCTGGGAATTACTGTTATGAGAAGGAATTATTTAGTAATACATCTGATCTTGCCAAGGACTTTATGTCTCGCCTCCTTGTCAAGGATCCTAAGAAACGTGCGAAAGCATCAGACTGTTTACAGCATCCATGGATACAGGTAGAATTATTGATCTGAATTGTGTAATGCTGGAACGTGATTAATGGCCATTCTTTGTGTTCAGAAGTTAGAACTGTGAAGTTATAAGGATGGGGTTAAATAAATTATGTTTAATTGAATACTTTATTCCACAATTAAAATAATTGTTACATTGATGATGTAACACTAAATTTATTTACATTTTCCACTGATCTGTGTAGATGATTTCTTCCTGTTGTTATCATCTTGTCATGAAGACTAGATTTTATTGTAACAAGAAATCTCTTGTGTGATTAACCTTAATTATTTCATTTGGGCTTGAAATGCATGCAAATGTTTGCTGTGAGATACGTCTTTCGTGTGTATATTTTATGTGCAAAACTGCAAAATGATTTGCATTATTTTTAGGCCTTCAGTCCAGTAGAAAAAGCTACATTAATGAATGGTGCAAGTGTAGACAACTTAAAATGTATCGAAGTGTGGGAACGATGGCAGGTAAGGTGTGGAATGATTTTATAAAGCTGATATTATTATCACTACTATTATCATTATTATTAATATCACAACCACCACCACCACTGGAGAGGGTGGGGGTGAATATTATTTTTGGAAATGGCACAAATGCCAAAACAATTGCTATGATTAGGTTAAAATCCTGAGGATATAACAAAAATGTTGGAATACATGCAATTTAGGGCTGCTTTCTAACATGTCCAGAATAAATTGATTATAACAGAACATCATTTGATTTATACAGAGGGGAAACATTGTTTTGATGATAGTGACTGGACTTTGGAAACATGTCATGCCATGTGAGATTTGAGGTTCTCGCGACATTGAAGATGTCATGCCATGTGAGATTTGAGGTTCTCGCAACATTGAAGATGTCTTCTGGGTTGTAACATTGTGTGGACGTACAGGAACTTTCAAGACATTTTTGCCAATAAAATGTTTCAGAGGCATTCATGTCATGAAGTCTAGAAGTTTGAAGAAAGTTTCATAAATAGAAAAGTAAAGCAGTAGTAACAGCAGTGAAGACACTGAATGTGGTATGAATATGGGCACACATTTAAAGGTCTCTTTTATTGTTGCATTGCACATCAATCTGTGTTTTTGTAGATATGAAGACATGATCATTTTGTGTACGTTTTTACACACAAAAAGAGATATTTGTGTGACATGCCAGGGCACTTGTCCATTATGTAGTCATTCTGCTTGTAACTAATATGGATGAGATTCCTTCTTAAGAAGTTCATAATTGCTCAGAATGTAAACAATTTCTATCCTTTTTTGGAACCTGAAATTTCATTGCTGTGTTTACAGTAGCCTGCCACTCAATCCTATCCTGAGCCAGATGAATTCACTCAACATTCCAGGCATTCTTATAAACCTGAAAAGTTTATTGTTACAATATTGCTTATGTATGTGCTTCTTTTGTTAGCTATCCTCTGCTATGATGGATATTACCAAAGCAAATGGTGATTTAATTTACAAAAATAGCACTGGTAATGGGCTGCAATGCTTAGCAAAGCTGGTCCAGTTCACAGTCTGTTTATCTAAGATGTATATCATATTTTTAATGGGAAAAAGATAATGTTCTTACAACAAGTACCAGTAAAAAATCAGTATCCCCAAATATGAATAAAATTTGCTGTCAAACAGGAAATGTATTGTACAGTATAAATACTTGTGTAAATACTAGTAAGTGAAATGTATATCTTCTCTCTCTTTTTAATTCATGTGTCAATAGGTAAAAGAAAAATATTATCATCAAGGGTGACATGCTGTATTGGTTGTAATTAGTGGGATATGAACCACATCTGCACAATGGCATATGCAATTAAGTAATTTTTTATGTTTAAAAGTCTAGTCAGAGTTATTTTGCAAAATACAGTCTTGATTTGTAACTTTATATTGCATGTATGCAATAGTATTATCATGTTTTCTTTTGTGTTGTCCTTTATTTTGTAAAGACTGCATAAGCATCTATTTATGATACATTTAAAATGTGATGAATGACCATTGTCTTATGCACATATGGCTATTGCTGTAAGGATTATTAAGCACTTCATAGACCATAAAGTTGTGAGATCTGCAAATATGAAATTTACAACTAAAGAAGTATGATCCACAGCCCTTCCTATCATCTGTTAGTACCATAATTTCCATGGACACTGGGCAGCTTGCACAGTTATGAGAAAAACAGGATTGTGGTTCCTGTTTGCAGAAGGATATATTTTTTCTCTTTGCAAAATACTATAAACAAAATCATCAATATCCTGAAGAAATATGACATTTATGTACTTCTCACCCAGTCAGAAAACTGACTGCAGAACTGGATCCAGGTAAGGACATCACCATTGAAGCTGTGAGGTCACTTTTTCTGTGCCTTTTGCAGTATTTGAAGTTAACCTGTGAGAAATCAGATCAATGAGCATGTAAGGGACACCTAGTAATTGAACAAAAGAACCCAGTTCAAGAAAACTGAAAGATAAAATTTATTTAACTTAGATTTCTGTCATGCATAATGCACACAAGTACTGCTTTGTGGTGGATATGTGTTAAATTCTTTAATGAACTGATCTACTGTGATGGTGTATGCTGAATTTGTAGCGTCAACTACAGAGATTAGATTTATTGAAGTCCATTCTGACTAATAGCTTTCTCCTGGAAGTGGTCCTCAGTACTTCCATAGGTTTTCTTTATTTTAATATACATATAGCATGATCCTCTCCTGCATTATAATTTTTCAATTATGGAATACATTGAAGGTGACTTAAATTTGACTATTAGACTGTTGGATCAGTACCAATAATTATTCCTGTTTCTAGACACTCATCAGACACTGGTAAATTGTTTTTGCTTGTACAGGTTAGTATGTTGGATTCTGTTCAATTATGGCTTGGAAAATGTTACTTTTGCCCTCTGATTTACATTTAAACTCTTTAATTTTGGAAGATTCAAAGTAATGTCATGTGTTCATTTAATTAATGTAAAATATATGACTGAAGTGCAAAACACTTTATGTGCACAGAAGAATAGTTCAGATAATTTGGTCCTGTTTTATATAGAATTGAAATCTTTGGTCTATAAATTATTGCCATGTTATAACATACAAGTAGAATTTAACAAGCAATAAAATATAAGCAACAAGCAATACAGTATAAGCATTGTTATTGCTGCTTTTAGTTTTTAGTTAATTTGCCACCAAGTTTCCAGCACTGCTGAATACCCACAAAGAACAAGCAGAAAAAATAAACCATGAGAAAGAGATTGGCATAACAGCATTTTTTTTAGATAGGGGTGTTATAAACCATGAGAAAGAGATTGGCATAACTGAGCATTTTTTTTAGATAGGGGTGTGAGCATTAGAATTTGTCGATTTATTGAATATCTTATTCAGGATCAGTAGGAACATCCATTTTTTTAAATGATGTTTGTTTAATAGAGTTAATCAGGTATGACTGGTATTTTAGAATGATTTTATGTATGTGATTTATTTTTATTAATGAACCATTACCTTTTGAATGAAGTATTATGCCTTACAAATATTTCATTGTGCAGCGTTTCCTAGTTTTGGTGCGGCTGTGCCTGCATCTTCAGAGGCATAGAACTAATGCTGTGAAGAATCAAGATGTAAGTTATCTCAGTGCTACTCTGTGTGTGACTGCTTTGTCATGCATCAGGTGTCATTTACTCAGAGCTAGCAGGATGTTACACTTCTCTGAACTTTCTTTTTCTAGTCCTCTTGTTAATGCCTGGTGTATCTGGCTGACTACTGCCCCTGCTTTTAGTACTTTCCTTTTGTATCTTATACTGCAATTCATGACTCACAAAAATAATTTGATTTACAGTATTTAAAGTGTCTGCACAAATTCATGAATGATTACTTTGCATTTTTAAGTATAAGTAATTAATTTTTGTGATGGATATATTTTAAAATGTCCTAGTTTTTATTTTTATTTTATTTAATGTTATGATTCTAAGGAAAGGGAGGAAATTATTCAGAGTAATGTTATATTTAGTGTTAGATGAAGGTTAAGGAAATTATGGATAGCAGCAGACTGTATTTATATAAGGTCACTACATATTTATAAATGGTGTGGAATAATTGTGATCCAAAGCACTTTATTTCAGATGAATGGCTGTGGCATTTACTTGCTTTATAAATACTGCTTATAATATTAATATATACTAATGAATATTTGATATATGCATATGTTTTAGCTTTTGACAAAAATGTGTTGTCATTGCATTATATCTTTAAAAATTTTATTTCAGCTATATACTTGGTGCATTGAAATGATATGTAAGTATAATTAAAATAAAATTTTCAGTATTTTTGTGGGTCATATTGTTTCCTATCTTTCTATTGCTGTGTAGATGTTGGAAGTTGTGTCTATTGGTGCCTGGAAAGGGGTCAAGCATTTTGGAGCAGCCCATGTACTGTAGGAATGGCTTGTTATTGATCCACTGTACTCTGGTTGCTATGTGGGTCAGTAATGGCTCACCTAGTATACACATCATGCAATCTTTGCTAGTACCTGAGCTGCTGCAATAGAAGAGAGGTTGTCATCATAAAAGTAACAGTTGTGCTTTTCTCAAGTGATGGTAGACTCATTAAGTCAGAGCTTTTGTCCTGCTTTTGTCCCCTTAAATGTTTCACTGTGTACTGTGTACCCTTTAGAAGACAGCTTTTGTACATTAATGCACTAAAATTTTATCTTCACAAAATTATTGAAGAGTATAATTAATATAAGGATAGAGTTATTGGTTCAGGTAGGTACTACCCAGTCCATGTGATGTTAGAAGTGGTTATGAGGAACAAGAATGCTGGTGGTGGAAAACATCAATTACAAGATGTAGTTGAGGTATGATCTGTTGTGTCAAACTTTTTTATAAATATACGGTAGTGTGGAAAGTGTTAATTAAAATAATAGGGTCATACCTTACTGTAATAAACCTGAGCTTCTTCAAAGTGTAATATGACAAGATGATAGTGTATTTATGATATATACAGATATGTTTCTTTTTTCATGACCATTATCATGTAATTGAAGATACATAATTTGGTAAATGTGTTCAAATATAACTTGTACATGAATGTGTTTTGTTACCAGGATGACAGTTTTGTTGTATTGGCACTTCACTGTGCAGCTTCAGAAGGAAATGCAGCTGGTTTGCAGGAACTCATCACACTTTCTACAGTTGATATGAATGCCACAAATAAGGTACTTATTAGATTTCTTCCCATTATTTCTGTGGTACTTGACCATATGCCATCATAAACATATATTTTCAACTTAGCTTTCTCTTTTATATAAAAATTATTTAACCTCTATACCAAAACACCATATATTGTTTTGAAATTATGAGAAGTGAATTAAATTTTTGTATTGTGTAATTCCAGTTTATTTAAAATAGTCTGTAAAATCTACAGTTATTTCGTCTGTCTTCTAATGGATGAACACCAGATAACAGTCTTGAATTCCTTCTCAAAGCTGTGAGGGATGCAGAAAGTTAGTTGTATCAAGTTGCAGATACTTAAATTACTAACTGTGATTATAGTAAGATGTTGTAAATATGCATCTGAAGGTAAAAGTTATGATTAAGAAGATGGAATGTTTGGAATTTGCATAGGACAAGTTCTTTATTTTCATTGCTCATAGAGACCAAACTGTTTCACCTTACAAAAGTATCAAGTGTTGACTTTGCCGGTGAACACACTTCATAATACAAAATTTTAATAATTTTATGCTTTCAGTGAGATTGTGAAAACACTGATGTTTGTTAAATTTACAGCGTTTATGTTCAAGATTTTATATGCACTGTTTAATAATCATGTTATTTTACTGCCAAAATAATAAAACTTGCAATGTACAAGTAGCTTTCTTAATTGAAGACAAAACACTATTTTACTTGCAGAATGGTGAAACAGCAGCACATATTGCAGCTGGGCATGGACAGTTATCAGTCTTGACATTGCTTCAGAAGCATGGAGCTAATCTTCAGAATGTTGATGAACGGGGCAATACCCCACTTATGTGTGCTGCTAAAAATGGGCATTTGGTTACTGTACAGTTTCTTCTTCAAGCTGGAATGGTAGTGGGAGTCCAAGACAAGGTGATAAACCCAGCTTGTCAAATTTGCTGTGGCATTTTTATTAATGGTATAATGTAGCGTGATTTTGCAGAGTAGGTATCTGTTCTGGCAGGCAACAGATTTGAAATACGAGATCTCAGGTTTTTACAGTGGTGAGAGTTCATATTTAACTTCTGTACTGAAGGTGGAAGAAGTATGTTCCTTCAAAATGTTGGTAACCATCTACAAGTCTGCACAGTGTCACAACCCAGAACTCAGAAAATTCAAATGTGAGATTGAAAAACAAATTGACAAATGTCAACACTGGCAGAATTAAAGGCTCATCAGTAAATTATTTTGATTTCTGCAGTGAATGTATTAACCGTTTGAGACCAAAACTTGTTTAAATAATATTTAAGTATTTGGACAATACTTCAAAGAAATGCAATACTTCACCATTATGAAGATCCCCTGGTTAATTCTGATTAAGGAATTAATTGTTGTTTACAGTGAGAATCATATGAAACCAATAAATGTAAAATGTAGAGTTGTAGATTGTTGAAGCAGTTACATACCACTCAGCTTTGAATGGTTAGATGTGATGGTTTGCCATTACAATCGACGTACTCGTGTGTTATTGATGATGTGTTCTGTAAGTAAGATGGAAAACATAGGTTTTCTTATAGTTTTGTATTTGTATATAGAATGGAGACACTGCACTGCATCATGCCAGCTCTCAGGGTCACTTGGAGTGTGTGCGGTGTCTTGTGGAGTATGGGGCATGTGTGGATATGACAAACCATGATGAATCTACTCCTCTTCACAGTGCTTTATGTAAGAGACACATCCACTGTGCTATGTTCCTGTTGCATTCTGGTGCTGACATAGATCTACAAGACAAGGTAACGTATCAGTTATTCTAACTGGGAACTTGCAGTGGAGATACATCAAGTTAAAATGCAGCTTGGCAGCCCTGTAGTGTGGAAATTTAAATCCCCAATTCCCATATAATAAAGGTTAAATAAACTAAGAATACGTAAAAGAAAGTTATCACACAACATTTGTATTGTTTGTTGATTATTAGGTTATTTATCAGTATTATTTATATATTGTTGGTGTTTGTGATAATATAGGCTTATTAATTATGGTGATAAATGTGGAATGAACGATAGGCAACGAGAATACTTTTTCAAGCATTTACTAGTATTTTGTAAGATTTTGTTTGTTACGAAATTCATGCGAGTTATACTAGATTTCACAAAATTTGGCAGGTGAATTTTGTGTCATAGTGAGAGCTAAAGAGTTCACATAGCCACTGTTTGGTTGTTGGTAGTGTACGGTTTCCCTCACAGTTCTCATAAGTTAACAATTTTGTTAGGAAAATAGGGTCTTGTGGGTGGTTGTTTTATTTTACATATAAGCCACAAACTTATTTTTTCAGGTATTTATTTTTCTGAAATGGAGAATGGAAAAGATAAGTTTGTTCACAATTTTCCAGCTTGCAAAAGTTTTCTTCTGAGGCATGTGGTGTTGAACCTATTGCAGTTCAATGAACTGTTAGTAAGGGACATGTAAGCAGTTATTTGGTCTGAAGCACATTGAGTTCTTAATTTAATGTTTATACCATAGGTCCCACCTATTCCCCTTAGGTAAAACTGATTCTGATTGTATAGATGTAAAATATTTTCTTGACATGGACAGCATATTTTTTTGTTTGGTTTTTGTTTTGTCTAGTAGTATTTATCTTTATAGTGTAAGTATAGAATCTTAGACTTTTTAGTTTGACAGATGCAGTTTATCCTTAAACATTTTAAGGAACTTCCTATCTTACTTGTTCTGTACAGTATTATTTTGTTTTATTTATAGGATGGCAATACACCTATCCATCTAGCATCGCGTGAAGGACTTCTGACAGTTGCACAGACTCTTTGTGCGTTTGGTTGTAATGTAGATATTGCTAATAAACAAGGATTTTATTCACTACATCTTGCTGCTAGGCATGGCCATACAGAAATAGTCAGGTATAGTGTTAAGACACTCCTAATAAAGTTGTCCTAGTTTTTATTCTAGAATGCTGAGCTAAATTACATTTCATTGCTAGGTTATAAATTTATGTTAATTAAAGTATAACATTGACAAGCAATAGATTTGTAGGACCAGAAATTTGTGCAATAGAAAAGTGGATTTTATGAGTTGTAACCAGAACTTCTTGTTTGGTACAAAATTTCAAAATTATGCAAGGATTGTGTTATTAGGTATGATGCATCTTACGCTTGTATTTGAGGGCTATTGGTGACAGTATAAGTATAGTTAAAAAGGAGTTGTGAATAATGAGGAAGGAAGTTGTTGAAGCCAGTCTTAATGTATTGTCCTGACTACCTTGTTTATATTACAGTGCTTAACCGACTGTATGCTGTATTTCAGGTGCCTTTGTCTAGCTGGCTGCAACATAGAACAAAAGAATGGTGATGGGATCAAAGCAGAGATTACAGCACTAAAACACGGTTACAATGATATTGGCGACTTGCTTAACAGGCTGAGAAATGTATGTGTTTCTAACTGTAGTGGTAGTTTTTTTGTAATAAATTATGGAAGTTATTATATGTAGAATTAATGTCTTTGGTTACTGGAAAATTAGATTTGGTTAGAATCGGATGAGCAGTCACATGGCAGAATTAGTTGATATGAAGAGCATTTGGAGATGCAACAGTGATCAGCGCGTGAGTTTTTTATGATTCCCATTTTAAAATTGAATGAATTTCTTGTCAGATGTGATGAATGTCCTGTACTCATTCATCAAGTATGAGAAATGTATTGATAGTTTAAATGCATGATTTAGTTTGTAATGATACGAAATTAACCATCTGTGAAATGCCTGAAGAGAATTTCTTATGGCTTGGATCAGATGATTTGAACTGAATATTTGGGAATAAAATTTAAGAATTTATGCCATATGTGTGTAAATTTATTATTGTGTGGATAATTTGTGATGAAGATGATTATAAATTTTATTTTATCCTTTAGGGTTCACACCATGAGGAATTAATAAAGCAGTTGATACCTACTTCTCAAACTCTTACAAGGATAAATGTTAAGTTTTTTGGTCATTCTGGTGTTGGAAAATCAACTCTAATTGAATCGCTCAGAGCTGGTTACTTTTCCAGTTTTTTTCGCAAAAGTAAGCCATCTGCAGGAAGCAATACTGGAACAAGTAAGTTGTAAGATGCCAGAAATTTGTTCAAAAGTTAAAGGAGTGCCTTTACAGAGAGTGGCTTCAGAGGAATATTAATTCTGAGTTTCAATTTGGTGTTTGCTTAGGGTAATAGGGTATGGTAATATAATAGCAATGTAACAGAAAACTAGATCTCTCTTTTAGGGATATATGAAAAGTAAAGAATTAAGACTGTAAGGTTACTTATGTGTTTTAAATAGAAATATTACGGTAAGGTATTAATATTATTATGTTTATATATATATCAGTATCTGAAGTGCCTTTTTAATCTGTTTGTTGTAGATGGGTCAACATCCCCTGGTAGCAAAATGCAAATAGAAATGGATGTAACATCATCTCGTAGTTCCCTGAGTTTTGACACTTATAATTACCAGTACACACGTGGC